GATTTGGTGACCATCAAGTCCCGCTGCTTTACCATCCAATATCGTTGACCGGAAACTCCGCCGTTAACATTCCATGACTCACTTTTTACAGGCTTCACCGCCATCACCGTTGACACATGAGTATTTCATTGCCATCAAATCTGACAACCCAAATCATAGACGTCAAAGTCCACAACTGCTGAGATTAGTGACGAACTCTCCAAGTCTTCGGCAACCCTGTTCGTCCAGTTGTTATTCCCAGTTGACCTGGTATCCTCCACTATAAGTCTACAAACACCAACGGCACCTACACACTTGCACATCCACCAGATTTGTTGTCACCTCTATAATGGTGACTCACGAGGCAAAAATATCTTATTATGAAGAAATAAATGCAAGTGTGGCCACGTGTACTCAGCGCCACTTCCTTCATGGTACGATGATGTAACACGGCAATGGCATCATCGGGGGAAGATTTAGCGCCAAGATTCGAGAATCCCACTCCCCCCTCGTCAGCAAGCGTTGACAGGTTTCATAACCATGATGTCATCCAAGAAGATAATTTTTTTTTCTTAATTTCTTTTGAATACATTGAATGGTCAGAAATGATTTTCAATCTCCATGAGGATCAACTAATTTGAGTTGCTGTGAAGGGAAGCATGCTTGTACACTGAACCATATGAATTTCAGGATTCATGGATGATACTGGATAGAGTCCTCCCCCCACCTTGAGAAGTTGAGGATGTGTGAGTGTGAGAAAGAAAGAGTTACATGAAGCTCTGTGTAGAACAGAATCATTATACACATTTTTGTTAGATTGTGTTATGTCCCTCTTCATTTTTTTTTTTAGTTTGAAGAAGTTAACTTAAGCTAATGTTAATTCGTATATTTCTAGGTGTATCAGTGAATAATATTTTCAAATAAATTAATATTTATTATAGCAATATATATATATATCATACAATCCACTTTAATAAATCTGAACCAAGAAAACATTTCAAAATATTAACATATAAAATATAAAATATAAAACGTAAAATATTATTTTATATTATATTTATCTTAAAATATTTATTAAGGTGAAAAGAGTAAGTTAACTACTTATAGTATGATGCTAGTTTTTTCATAGGTGGGCTGAATTATTTTTTTCAATTTAAAAAAATCTAAAAAGATATTAGAAAGTTAAATAATTGATTTATATTTGTCGAAATACTTTAAAATATTTAAATGGTGATACATTGGATGAAATATTTTATTTATTAAAAATACTAAAATAACAACATACTAGATTGATTCAGGCCAACTATATTTATCTTACAAAATTCACGATATAGAATATAAGATTGTGATAAAACTATAAAATTTACAACAAAACAAAATGAAAAGCTTAATTAGAAATAGCCAAATATTGAAAGTTGAAAATAAAAAAAAATCTCAACTTTAAAAAAAAAAAAAAAAACCGATCTAAGTTAATCCATATTAGTTGTTGGTCTTGGGTTGAAACAAAATCTTTTCAAATTTAAAATGAAAACAATTAAGGCAACACTAAGATTTCTAAAGAAGTAAATAATAATAATAATCCAAAACTCAAGTCATTGAGTTGATTGAGTTTAATAAATTTGATTAATATAATAATATAAAAGGACAATCATTATTTAATAACATGAAGAACTCAAAAAATCCTGACAAATCTTTTTAAATTTTTCTCCGACTTGATAAGTCTGCACGTGTACTACCATTTCTTTTCCTTTTCTTCTCTTCCTCCCTGCTTGGATTTTCAAGGCAAGCCTCTCAAAATTCAAGAAGAACCCTTTAATTTGTTAGTTTTTCAAATTTGATCTATTTTTTTTTCTTTTGATTTGTTTGTATCTTAAATAATCTATAAAATCGGTGTTTTTTCAATTTCACTCTTAAATTTCTTATCTTTTAAATTTAGTCTTCATCCTTCTGATTGTTATTTTTTCATTATGAGTTATTTTTTAGATTGATTTTGTTTTGCGATTTCACCCTCTTTAACTTGTTTTTTTCTATCAAATTTAATCTATATTCTCTTGATTTCTAATTTCTTGACCATGACAAGTTTTTATTTGGGATCATTTTTCAAATTGGTTTTGTTTTATAATTCCATTATTCTTTGTTTTTTTTTGTTGTCAAATTTAATCCATGCTTATTTGATTGTTGATTTTTTTGCTTTGAAAAGTTTTTAAAATTGATATTTTAAAATTAGCTCATAATAAACTTATTGATTTGGACCTAGATTTAGGTTTCCATAAGTTGCAAACTTACCCTATTTTTTTCTTTTCTTAATTGATGTTTTCTTATTTTTTATCCTTTTTTTTAACCTTTTTTTTTGTTTCATTATATCCGGTTAGACCTCAATATTTGTTTTCTATTTTATCCCTATTATTTTTTAATTTATAAATAATTTATCATCTTACAAATAATTTTCAATTGCACCCCTATAATTTTTTAATCTTTCAAGTTTCGTCCTGATTCTTTTAATTGTATCTTTTTAGAATTATTTTTAATTTTTTCAATTTTCATCATCCTTAGATATTTTCCTGTTAGATTTTATTTTTATTTTTTTTGTTAGTCCTTTTCTTTTTCAAGTTTTTTTTTAATATTTTTTTTAATGATTTTATCCTTCAAAATTAAATTAGATTATATTTAAGTTTTTTTTATTAAACTCAAATATTAATTTTTTTAAAATTGAATTAGGTTAAAGGTTCACTGAATTACTAATTAACTTGTACATGGAGGAAGAGGTTTCCCTTCAAAAAGGGATAAAATAAATCACAACGAAAAAGGACACATCGGTATACATACGCAGCACTTCATGCAAGAGGTTTGCAAAGAGTTGAAGGCCAAGGCTATCTAGATTTCATGGCCCTTATTCGTGTACCCCAAATATTAAATTGATAAGTCAATTTGGAATTTGATCACCTCGGATCTAATCTAAATAGAGTTTAAAAAGATTAAATGAAAATTAATCCAATTAAGGCTGAATGATCCGATGGAAATCTAATTTTTAATTAATCCTGTTTGCTCATACATATCTCAATGGCAGGCCTGGGTCTAATAATTGTGGGCCCCAAGTCACTGCTTCAAACTCAAACCCAATCGAGTTTGGAAAACCAACGATGCCCAGAAACTTCCGTGAAAAAGCCTCGATTATTCAAGAGCAAGCCAGAAAGTTCCTCAAGAGAAGCCATGGCGATTCCTCTTCTGCTTTCTATAAATTGCTAACCTCCCTGATGAACACCAATCAATCAAGAAAAATCAGCAATTCACAACGACAATTCTCAGCGTCTAACCAATCATATCAACACCCTTTTTAGATTTAAAAAAAAAAAGAGAAGCCAAGCAAGGGAGAGCTTATATATCATGGCAATGATTCCAAGCTTCTTCAACAATCGACGAGGTAGCAGCAGCATCTTCGACCCCTTCTCTTCTTTCGAGGCTTGGGATCCATTTAAGGACTTCCCTTTCCCCTCATCTTCCCTCATCCCTCGTGAGAACTCAGCTTTTGTTAGCACTCGCATTGATTGGAAAGAGACCCCAGAAGCCCATGTCTTTAAAGCTGATGTTCCGGGCCTAAAGAAGGAGGAAGTGAGAGTCGAGATCGAAGACGACAGGGTGCTTCAGATCAGTGGAGAGAGGAATACGGAGATGGAAGACAAGAATGATACCTGGCATCGTGTTGAACGTAGTAGTGGTAAGTTCTTGAGAAGGTTCAGGCTGCCTGAAAATGTCAAGATGGATCAAGTCAAGGCTTCTATCGAAAATGGGCTTCTTACTGTCACTGTGCCCAAGGAGGAAGTGAAGAAACATGATGTCAAGGCTATTGAAATCGCCGGTTGAATGTGATGCCTGCTTTCTTGGTTAGAATCTATCTACTTTTTCAATCAAGAATTGTGTGTCTTCTCATGTTAATGATAGCTGAAAATCCTGGTGTCGTCCTTGTTTATATCCTATATGCTTACAAGTGTTTGTCCATTTGATGTATGCTTGATAAGTGTTTAATGGTAAATAGTGTGTAATTTGGCTAGTTATTATCTTCTGTATCCATCCTGCCTGTTATTTCTAGCTTCCTTTCCTTTATCCTTAAAATTTCTTAAATGGTTTTCTGGGCACAAAAGAAGACGAGGGATGCCATTAGTAGGTTAGATTACAAATCTTTTACGCATGACTGATTTATCATTTGGTAACCTTTATGTCAATTCATAATCTCAACTGCGAAAGCCCCGTTCCTTGAATCAATGTTTTAGAAGCAACGGCTTGATGATAAGCTCTCCTGTATCATCTATGGTGGATTACGGTATCTTACGACTGTAGCATCAATTGAAGTTTCTAAGCATCATGTAGCTTATTCAATTACTACAGGATATATGCATTTCATAGTAATTGTGATTAAGATTTGGGTTTTTATTGATAGATTTCGGTTTTAATTGATTGTGTTTACTAGTTTAATTTTTTTTATAGTTTAAATCATTATAAATCAAAACCCTCTAATTGTATAACGTACAACATAAAAATCTGAATTAAATCTTTTTTATGGGATTGATTCTTTACTTGATCTATACTATCTTGCATGTTTTAAGCTAGAGTAATTAATTTGTGCGATCGCGGCATCGTAACAAATTTTGGTGCCATTGCTGGGGAAGTAATTTTAGTTGATTCTTGTGCTTGTATTGTTATTTTTAGTTGCTGTGATTGTTATTTATATTTCTGAAGAAAAAAAGATAGAATTTTTGCTTGTGGCTGCACTGTTCGCTTGTGGCAGCGGTACTGTTCAAAACAGAATTGTTTGTGGAATTATGTTTCGATCTTTTGTTTTCTGAAGAGAAACGATATTCTGAACAAGACTAGTGATTACCACTAGCCCCATCCTATCGAGGTTAAATTCTGCTGTTTTCTAGGGTTTTTAGGCAGTTTTAATTTTATACCGTAAGATTTTCGTATAATTTTCATTGTTTTTGATTTTTTATGTGATTGGTTTCTTTTGAGTTTTCTTGATGATTTATGCCAGTAACTCGTTCTACTAATCAAAGTTAAGTGCAATTAGATCTCAAAATAGAAAAAACTTTGCGCAGGTTACGAAAGGAAGCTTGCCGCAACACCATAGCTATTGCACAACAACAAATACTTAAGGAGCTTGCTACTCCTAACATGGAAAATCAGCTACTGTGCATAAACATTAATAATAGTGTAAACTTTGAGCTCAAATTTGGTTTTATACATTTGTTACCAACATTTAATGGTTTTGCAGGAGAAGATCCTCATACTCATCTTAAGGAGTTCCATATGGTTTGTGTTGGCATGAAACCGAATGGAGTTGACGAAGAACAGGTTAAGTTGAAAGCTTTCCCTTTCTCTTTAAAAAAGGCAGCAAAGACATTATTTTTCTCTATTCTCTCATGTTCTATTGAAACTTGGAATGCCATGAAGAAGATTTTTCTTGAAAAGTATTTTCTAGTATCTCGAGTTGCCAACATAAGGAAAGAAATATGTGGGATTCGACAATTTCATAGAGAGACACTCTCTGAATATTGGAAAAGATTTGAGCAACTCTGCATTCAATGTCCTCATCATCAAATACTCGATCAACTACTCATTCAATATTTCTATGAAGGATTGATGCCTACTAACCGTAATATCATTGATGCTGCAAGTCCTGAGGCTGCACGCCAATTGATCTCAAACATGGAAGCCAACTCAAAACAGTTTGACACTCATGAAGACTTCTCAAACAAACAAGTAAATGAGGTAAGTATTTCTAACCCTGAAAATAAAGTTAATGATCTTACTTCTCTTGTGTGTTTTTTGGCTTGTGGAAATGTACAGCAGGTGAAAGTTTGTAGTGAAAGTTTGTAGCATATGTTCCTTACAAGAACATACCTCAGATGTATGCTCAACAATGCAAGAAGATTACATTGAACAGGTTCATATAGTTGATGGAGGATTTAACGGACAATTCTAGCATAAATATGATCCCTTTTCCAACATGTACAATCCTGGAAGGAGAGATCATCCAAACTTATGTTATGGGAACCCACCTTAACAAGACAATTAAAGCCGACAATTCCATCCCCATGGATTTCAGCCCCAATAGAATTATCAAGCGAGACAACCCCTTCTATTCACAAACTCCAATGTATGGGGTCGTCATCCAATGATGATCTTCGTGAGATGATGAAAACTTTGGCCTCTAACACTGTGACCTTACAACAAAATGTCATGACTTTTCAACAAGAAACAAGGTCAAATATTCATAACTTGGAGAAGAAAATGGGGTAAGTAGCTTCAAGTGTGGGAAAATTGGAAGCACAAATGAATGGAAAATTACCCTTCCAAGCATTGAATCTAACAGAGAATGTTAGTTCAATCATGCTGTGAAGTGGGAAAGAATTGGAAGAGAAAAGGTCAAAACAAATTAAGATGGAGGAAGAAGAAGAGATAGAAATAGAATTGAGTACAAAGAAGGAATATCCTCCTTCTCTACAAGCTGAAACATCAACCAACACTCCAAAGGTAACTCCTTACTCAATGAATTCCAGTTTTAAAACAATTCGCCCTTTCTTGTGAGTTCTTCTAGGTCAAAGAAAGAGGATAAATAAAAAAAGATTTTAGAGGTTTTCAAGAAAGTAGAATTCAATATTTCTTTGCTTGATGCTATCAAGTAAATTTTTAAGTATGTCAAATTCTTGAAGGAGTTGTGTACTACCAAGAGAGCTTTCAAACTGAAAGGTTATGAAATGATAAGTATAGGTGAAGTTGTATCTACTATTATTCAAAAGAATATGCCTTTGAAGTAAAAAGACTCAGGTGCGTTTGCTATCCTTTGTGTTATTGGTAATGCTAGTTTCAAAAGGGCCTTGTGCAATTTAGGTGCATCCAATACTGTTATGCCTAAACATATTTATGATTCTCTTAGTCTTGAGCTTTGAATAAAACTAGCATTGTAATACAACTTGCGGATCGTAGTTTTGTTTACCCATTTGGTGTGATAGAAGATATCTTAGTCAAGATTGATAGTTTGGTCATTTTATGCGACTTTTATATTCTTGATATGAAACATGATTTTTGTGATTTATCAAATAACACTCCTATATTATTTGGGAGACCATTCTTGAAAACTGTCAATACAAAAATTGATTGTGGTAAGGATACTTTGTCTATGGAGGTAGGAGATGAAAAAATTTAATTTAATTTTTATAATGCCATGACATACCCTTATAACAATGTTTATTTTATCAGATGTTATGACCAAGTTGATAAGTGTTTGCAACAAGTTTATGATTTTAATAGTGAGGATGGATTAAGCATAGCTTTGAGCTATGACTATGATTTTACCAAGATATAAGAGATGAAGAAGCATATATGTGTTTCCCAAAACATGCATGAATCATCATTTGCTTTGCAAGTTTTGCAAACTGTTTCCCATGATGCAGGAGTCATTCACCCCATCATGGACAGTGAATAGGTGACGCCTATCCTTTTGGTGCCTAAAAATATTGGAATTACATTGGAAGAAATAAAAAATGATGCTTACAAGAATGCAAAGATTTACAAAGAAAAGACTAAGAGTCTTCATGACCGAATGTTTATAAGAAAGGAGTTTCATGTTGGAGACAAAGTCCTTCTTAATCATTCGTATTTGAAACTTTTTCTTGTAAAGTTACGTTCTTGTTGGATTGGATACCCCTTGTTGTTTCTAATATTTTTTCTTATAGTGCAGTTGAAATTACAAGTTTAGAAACTAATAAAGTACTTAAGGTCAATGGGTATTGTTTGAAACTTTTCTATGAAGGTTGGACGACAGAACTCACCGCTTCTGTAGAGTTAGCTGAACCAATCTATGAAGAATGAGCATGCCACATGTCAAGCCAGTGACATAAAACAAAAGTGCTTACTGGGAGGCAACCTAGCACAAAAAGAAAAAAAATCAGATTTGCTTTCTTTTTCCTTATCTTTTATTTTTTTCATATTTTAATTTATTTCTGTCATTCTTTTATGTTTCATTGCTTTTATTTCAACATTGAGGACAATGTTGTGTTTTAAGTATGGGGGCATTGGGAAAATTTTGGTTTTTTTATTTTAATTTTCTTTGTTGTTCTTTAAAAAAAATAAATTTGTGTTTGATCTTTTTAACTCCCATTGGTTTTTAAGAATATGAGTATTATGTATGGAAATTAATTGAGATAGACGAAGATATAAATAAAATGAAGGAGTATGCATGCAAATTTTAAGGTTTAATTGGTTTGTGGATTGACTTTGAGAATATGCCATGTTGACTTTATAGTGTTATATCAGTGCAAACTTTTGAGCCTTCAACATTATATTCTTTGAGTGTACATTCTTTCAATGATATGTATCTCTAAAACTTGCTTCATATCTTATTGAGATTATATTCCATTACAAATATACATGAAAATGATAAAGGCATTAGAAATTTTAACCACTCGAGCCAAAAAGCCAACTGAAAACATATTATCCTTAGTGGGCCCGTTTTGAGCTTATTTATCTTTTCTTTGCTTTATCCATGTATAAGCTTGAACTTTTTATATGTTTTTCTTTTCCCCTGACCAAGGATTGATTAGTAGAGCATATACTTGTGATATCTCATATAATTATGGGTGGAAATTATATGAAAAGAAAGAAGAAGTGAGGCTTGATGAAAAAATAGGCAAAGTTGCCAAAGGTGAAAAAAAAAGAAGAAAAAAATAAATAAAAAAGTATTCCTTTATGTTCTTAAGGTTTTATGTTGAAAGAGCTTGAAATTCAAAGAAATTAAACATTGGTGATTAAAGATGAAAAATTTATGTACTTTGATGGAATATCTTGTTTGAAATGTAATTTTTTTTCAGAATGCTCTATTTTCTTTGGTTTGAACCTTTCCTTTTACTTTTTTTTCCTCACCTTAACCTTAGCCCTATTACAACTGAAAAATAAGACTTTTTGATTCATGTAGTACTTGTAATAAGTTGCTAATGTAGATGAGATTGAAAAGCAAGCTTATGGTTGAACGTATTTATTGATTGAATTTGAGAGATTTAAGCACATAAACCCTAAACATGTGAGTGTTGGAGTGTATACAATGAGAGGACCTATCACTTTGGCATGACATAGATTTCATTTAAATCCCGATGATTAATTGAGTTTTGAAGTTTGTATATAAATGAATTCATGAAAATTTATACTTTTTATCCTTCTTGATTGTATTTTTGTCAATAATGCATATATTCTTGGACATTGATGGGAGATTAAGAGATTGATCATAGTTATTGTCAATTTGATTTTATTTATCCTTTCTCGAGGACGAGCAAGAGCTAAGTATGAGGGTATTTGATGCAACCATATTATTTGATAGTTTCATCCACATTTAACTAGTGTTTAGCCTATGTTATATATATAAAAAGCCTTGATATTCCTTGTTTTATGTTTTGAAGGCACTTTTGGATGAAAGATGTAAAAAAAGAGTAAATTGGAGGTAATTGTCAGATTTGACCTTTAGTCGATGTTTTGTGAAGAGCGTGAGCTCTAAAAGTCGAAACAAAGTAATTCTAGTGGAATTAGAAAGCTAACATTCATACCTTTCTTAAAATCTAAGTCAAGAAAAATAAAAAGACAAAGAACATGAAAATCAAATCATTCAAAGTCAAATCTCGCATTCTGTCAATATTGATCTTTGGTCATTCAAAATTCAATATCTGGATTTTCAAAAGTCCGTTTGATGCAAACTTAATTTTGTTAGATTCTTTACTTAAAGGCCTATAAACTCTCTAAATTTCAGCCAAAAACGATGTCATATGAGGGAGATATTAGTTTTCAAAGATGACAACTGAATTTTGCCAACAAACAGGTTTTGTGGAAAAATGAATGCAAATTACATCTTGAAGCATCCAAACCGACATCAAAGTTGTAATTTCAGAAATTTAGCTCCTCTAGTAAATCAATCTAGAAGGTTAAGGAAGACAGCCACCAACCTCAAACCACCAACCACAAACTAGCTGCAAGTTGAAATATTGCCAATTATGTGACTGCCATTGTCAAAGAAAGAAGGCCAACTTGTGAGAGTCAAAGAGGGCTGCTGGTGCAGCTTTTGCAGTCTCTTAACATTGTTAAAGAAGGAGGCTACAATGGTGGGTTGTTGGTGGCAGCTGCTAATGTCAAAGTTTGGCAAGTTTGACAGCTACCATTGTTGACAAAGGTGTAAGAGGAGCTGCCATTGAAGCCTATAAATAGACACCAAGAGAGAGCTAAGAGGGAGGGAGAGAGAGTTCAGTAGAATCAAAGAAAGGAGGCAGCAACAAGAAGTGAATAAACACAAACTCTCCTCTCTAAATACCAGAAATAATGCTTTCTTCTATCTTTAAGAGTAGTTGTTCAATAGATATGTAAGGTTAAACTTGTTTTCTTGGTTGCAAGGACGCGAAAACCTTTAGATTTCAAGAACTGTGAGATTTATTCTTCCATTTATTTTCAGTTTGTATTATGAATAAGTATGATTGTTTTCCTATGCATATTTTTTATGATTGTTGTTGATAATTGCTAGAGCGGACTCTAAGTTATTATTGTGAATAATCTATTGCTAAGTTTTGTATCAAAACTGGAGTTATGGTATATAAACTTGTGAAGTAACTAAGTCTGATAATTGTGGCGGAACTACGTTATTAAACTTAGGGAAAACATTCGATCAAAACAACACAAGCAGACAACTTGGTTGTTAAGATTAATGAATTTATTAATCTAGATAAATTCATAATAGATTGTGTTGCTTTGATCTTAACAAACAAGTTGTCTGCTTAATGAATTCATTAATCTTAACAACTAAGTTGTCTGCTTGTGTTGCTTTGATCGAATGTTTTCCCTAAGTTTAATAATGTAGTTCTGCCACAATTATCAGACTTAGTTGTTTCACAAGTTTATATACCATAACTTCAATTTTGATACCAAACTTAGCAATAGATTATTCACAATAATAACTTAGAGTTCGCTTTAGCAATTATCAACAACGATCATAGAAAATATGCATAGGAAAACAATCATACTCTTTTATAATACAAACTGAAAATAAATGGAAGAATAAATCTCATAGTTCTTGAAATCTGAAGGTTTTTACGTCCTTGCAACTAGGAAAACAAGTTTAGCCTTGCATATCTATTGAACAACTACTCCTAAAGATAGAAGAAAACATTATTTCTGGTATTTAGAGAGGAGAGTTTGTGTTTATTCACTTCTTGCTGCTGCCTCCTTTCTTTGATTCTACTGAACTCTCTCTCCCTCCCTCTTAGCTCTCTCTTGGTGTCTATTTATAGGCTTCAATGACAGCTCCTCTTGCTCCTTTGTTAACAATGGTGGCTGTCAAACTTGCTAAACTTTGACATTAGTAGCTGCCACCAATAACACACCATTGTAGTCTCCTTTTTTGACAATGTCAAGAGGCTGCAAATGCTGCACCAGCAGCTCTCTTTGACTCTCACAAGTTGGCCTTCTTTCTTTGACAATGGCAGCCATAAATTGGCAATATTCCAACTTGCAGCTGGTTTGTGGTTGGTAGTTTGAGATTGGTGGCTGCCTTCCTTGACCTTTTAAATTGATTTACTAGAGGAACTAAATTTCTGAAATTACAACTTGGATGTCGGTTTGGATGCTTCAAGATGTAATTTGTATTCGTTTTTTCATAAAACCTGTTTGTTGGCAAAATTCAGTTGTCATCTTTGAAAACTAATATCTCCCTCATATGATATCGTTTTTGGCTGAAATTTAGAGAGTTTATAGGCCTTTGAGTAAAGAATCCAACAAAATTAAGTTTGCATCAAACAAACTTTTGAAGATCCAGATATTGAATTTTGAATGACCAAAGGTCAATATTGGCAGAATGAGAGATTTGACTTTGAATGAT